GCCTGCCCCGCCCCCATCCCCAGACTTCCCAGTCCTTCCCACCCTCAGTCTCCTGTGCCTCGGAATACTGGGAACCTAAACCAGAGTCCAGGAGCCCCCAATATAGGAACCAAGAGAGACCCTCTTCTGCTGACCTGAGAATACACGCCTCCACTCTGGTTCAATCCTCTGTTCATGAGACAATGAACCAGAAGACCACCCTGGTGCTCCTCATTCTGGCGGTCATCACCATCTTCGCTTTGGTGTGTGTCTTGCTGGCTGGCAGGGGAGGAGGTGGGGGTGAACCCAGCCTGCCTTCCCACTGCCCCTCCATATCTCCCAGTGCCCAGCACTGGGCACCCCCCGGCCAGAGCCAGTTATTTGCAGACCTGAGCGCAGAGGAGCTGGCGGCTGTGATGAGCTTTCTGACCCAGCAGCTGGGGCCAGGCCTGGTGGATGCAGCCCAGGCCCGCCCCTCAGACAACTGCGTCTTCTCGGTGGAGCTGCAGCTGCCCCCCAAGGCTGCAGCCTTGGCCCACCTGGACAGGGGGAGCCCCCCGCCTGCCCGGGAGGCACTGGCCATCGTCTTCTTTGGCAGACAACCCCAGCCCAACGTGAGTGAGCTGGTGGTGGGGCCACTGCCCCACCCCTCCTACATGCGGGATGTGACTGTGGAGCGTCACCGGGGGCCCCTGCCCTATCACCGCCGCCCCGTGCTGCTCCGAGAGTACCTGGACATAGACCAGATGATCTTCGACAGAGAGCTGCCCCAGGCAGCTGGTCTCCTCCACCACTGCTGCTTCTACAAACGCCAAGGAAGGAACCTAGTGACAATGAACACAGCTCCCCGGGGTTTGCAATCAGGAGACAGAGCCACTTGGTTTGGCCTGTACTATAACATCTCAGGGGCTGGGTTTTACCTGCACCCTGTGGGGTTGGAGCTGCTTGTAGACCACAAGGCTCTGGACCCTGCCCGCTGGACCATCCAGAAGGTGTTCTTCCAAGGCCGCTACTATGAGAGTCTGGCTCAGCTGGAAGAGCAGTTTGAGGCTGGCCTGGTGAATGTGGTGCTGATCCCAGACAATGGCACAGGTGGGTCCTGGTCCCTGAAATCCCAGGTGCCCCCAGGTCCGGCTCCCCCTCTGCAGTTCCATCCCCAGGGCCCCCGCTTCAGTGTCGAGGGGAGTCGAGTGGCCTCCTCATTGTGGACTTTCTCTTTTGGCCTCGGAGCTTTCAATGGCCCGAGGATCTTTGACATCTGCTTTCAGGGAGAACGGCTAGCGTATGAGATCAGCCTCCAAGAGGCCTTGACCATCTATGGTGGGAACTCCCCCACAGCAATGCTGACCCGCTATATTGATGGCAGCTTCGGCATGGGCAAGTACTCCACGCCCCTGACCCGTGGGGTGGACTGTCCCTACCTGGCCACCTACGTAGACTGGCATTTCCTTTTGGAGTCCCAAGCCCCCAAGACACTACGAGATGCCTTTTGTGTGTTTGAACAGAACCAGGACCTCCCTCTGAGGCGACACTACTCAGATATACACTCCCATTATTTTGGGGGCCTTACAGAGACAGTGCTGGTCATCAGATCTGTGTCCACCTTTCTCAATTACGACTATTTGTGGGATATGGTCTTCCACCCCAATGGAGCCATAGAAGTCAAATTCCATGCCACTGGCTACATCAGCTCAGCATTCCTCTTTGGTGCTGCCCGAAATTACGGGAACCAGGTTGGGGAGCACACGCTGGGCACCGTCCACACCCACAGCGCCCACTTCAAGGTGGATCTGGATATAGGAGGTAAGATATCCTGGACGGGAAAAGGATTCCAGAAGAAGGGACTGAAGAGTTGTTTCTATTTGTTTCGGGCTTATGGCAGTTATGCAGGAAAGAAAGATCCGAGAGTGAGTATGTGGTTTTGGAGTTCATGCTTCCTCTTTGGCTGGATATGAGAGAGTTGGATGCTAAATTTTATTTAGCTCATTTGGTTGGGTGCACAGCTGCCACCCTTCCTCCATATGACCTCATCAGAAAATCTTGGGAAATAGCAAATCTCAGGGAGGAGGCAGGATCTGGGCCAACAGGGTCCCCTTTGCCCTCTTTCCTCCTTTGCATTTATATGGGACCCATTTCAGGGAGGCAGCGTTTGTTTTTCAGTTCATTTCTATGTGTCTGGCCTGTGGTGCTGGTGTTCTGTTTTGGAGGATCTGTTTGCATTCTGTCAAGTCCCTGGCACATGCAGGCCAGTCATGGAACACCCCAGGTTGGACATTTCCTAGGGAGATGGGCCCTCCTCCTCCCTGATTTTCCATCTCTCTCTGGACTTATGCGTGAGGGATAGAATGGATACTGTGGAGCATTCCAGATAGTTCCTGGTGGTCACAGAGAGTGCCAAGGAAACATGATGTCTTGGAGTCTATTCTTTTACTTTCCTCCCCCACGTTGAGCTGATCACTAGATTTTTTTCTGTTCTGCCTCTGAAATATCTTAAACTTCTAACTGGGCCCCACAGTCACACCCCTGTTGGCACCAGATCTCTTTCTGCTGCTTCCACTCTTCTCCCTCCCAGATATAGTGTTCACTCTGTGCCTAGAGGGACCTACCAGCCCATGCGAGCCCTGCTCCCTCATGCAGGTCTCACTTTCCCCATCACCTAGAGTATCCCATTCACAGAAGAGCCTACCAGGCCCTTCCCTTCAGAATGCAGCTGCATCCGGCCTTTCAGATTCTTCCCCGTCCACTGCTTTAACCACCCTGTCCCTGGACACACACAGCACGAGATAGTCAAGCTTCTTTGCTTTTGCTCATGTTTTGTTCCTGCTATGTCATCTCTGCTGGTAACATCCTGTAAGGTCAGGCTGAAAAGTTGCCCAGGAAGGTCCCTGTTTCCTGCCTACACCTCTATTCCTGTAACCTTGAATCTTGAATGTGTTCCTCTCATGTTGCAGGCCAGTCAGGACATTGCCCTTTGCATCCTCTGTGAGAAAAGGGTAAGGATGATGTTTTGTTCATCTGTGTGTCCCCAGGGCCGATCTTGGGCCTGCCACTAATCAGATAAGTGAATGAATAAATGAAATCATAAATAAATGAAATCCTTGACAAAATATTTTATAGGTCAACAACTTTGGCTAAAAGATTGGGGATATTTGGAGGAAAGGGAAAGGAAGTAGGGGGCACACTCAGTTCTGGGCTTCTCTTTGGCCCCCAATCTGAAGCCAGGTGGGTGATCAGCCCCTTCTCCCTCTTCCTTCCCTCGCCCTGGCAGGACTGGAGAACTGGGTCTGGGCTGAGGACATGGTCTTTGTCCCCATGGCGGTCCCCTGGAGCCCTGAACACCAGATGCAGAGGCTGCAGGTGGCTCGGAAGCTGCTAGAGACGGAGGAGCAGGCTGCCTTCCCCCTGGGGAGTGCCCCCCCTCGCCACCTGTACCTGGCCAGCAACCACAGCAACAGGTGGGGTCACCCACGGGGCTACCGCATCCAGATGCTCAGTTTGGCTGGAGAGCCGCTGCCCCAGAACAGCTCCATGGAGAGAGCCTTCAGCTGGGGGAGGTGAGTGGCACCCGGGTGTCAGAGAGGCTGGGGGAGATGAGAGTGAGAAGGGAGCACCGGAGGGGCAACTGGAAACTCAGTTCCAACTGTATGCAAAGTGAGCTCCAGAAAGGTTTCCTGGTTCTCCAAAGGCACAGGGGTGGGCACTGGGTACGTCCTGCCTTGGCGGACTAAAGCTCAGGGCCGAGAACTTTTGTCTCTTTCGTATGGGGGAGGGGCCGTGCTGTGACATGGCAGGGGGGTGAAAGGAGGCCCTGGAAAAGCGTTGGATGACTCACCAGGGCGGCCAGTGAATGAGATGGGAAAGCTGAAGTCCACATGCTCAGCTCCCTTCCATCATAATCAGGCAACAGGAGAGGGTTAGTGACCTTAGAGGCCTGACCAGTGCCCCCCTAGGTACCAGCTGGCCGTGACCCAGCGGAAGGAGGAGGAGCCCAGCAGCACCAGCATCTTCAATCAGAACGACCCTTGGGCCCCCACCGTGGACTTCACTGACTTCATCAACAACGAGACCCTTGTTGGAAAGGTCAGCTGATTGAGAGGACCAGCGAGAGGGCTGGGCGCACAAAGATGAGCCCCACCTTCTTTTGGGGAATCCCTGAAAACCACGTGGTCTCCTCAGGGGCAGAGCTGACTCCTGCCTTCTGTGCTTGCGTGGATCTGATCATTACCTCTTGCGGGATTCTTCCCCAGCTGGGAGTTCATTTGCAGATGCGGGCTGATCCTCAAGACCCTGCAGCCCTCTAAGTCTCAGCTTTGTGGACTGAGTCCTTTTCAGGCCCCAGGACTCAAGAAGGGCTGGAGGTCACCAGGGAAGACCACATCTCTTGTATCTAGAACCCATTCCTGGTGTGACCACTAAAGGATTAATTTCTGAATGTCAGCCTCTTCTGCCTCCCAAACCCTGATCTTCCCTCCTCCATCCCCCTCCCATCAGTTCTCGTTTGGGAACTCTCGGAGTGAAGGGGAAAGGAGCTGATGTAGCCTGTGGCATCGTCATTCCTCTGGGAGTGGAGAGGCTGATGGAGATGTGACAGGAAATGTCAGAGGCTGGGCCAGGGAGGCAGGTGTTGCTCCCAATATGAATATGAAATTGACTATGCTTTGATTTCTGTACCAATAGTGGAAACGTTTAAAGATTTAAGATCCTTTGAGGATAGGGGGCCTGGCATGGCAAATCCTTACATATGAGGCTACTGTGGGAGGCAGGTATGTCGTTAGCAAAGTCAGGCCTCATGATCCTCTTCTTTCTCCCCTGCCAGGACTTGGTGGCCTGGGTGACAGCTGGTTTCCTGCACATCCCACATGCAGAGGACATTCCCAACACAGTGACTGTGGGGAATGGTGTGGGCTTCTTCCTCCGACCCTACAACTTCTTTGACCAGGACCCCTCCTCCGATTCTGCTGACTCCATCTATTTCCGGGGGGACCAGGATGCTGGGGCCTGTGAGGTCAACCCCCTGGCTTGCCTTCCCAAGGCTGCTGACTGTGCCCCCGACCTCCCTGCCTTCTCTCATGGGGGCTTCTCTCACAATTAGGCGGTCCCCGGGCTGGGGGATGTGTCCAGGGGCCCCAGGACCAGGGTGTGTGGGGAGGGGGAGCAGTGGGCACTGGGTTGGCAGGCGGGGGCCCTCTTCTCCTTCTTCACATCCTTGAGGTTCCTTCCTCCTCCTTCCCCAAGGTCACCTCCTGACATCTTCCTTTGCTTTCCCTCTTTACTGGGAGCATCCTGAGCCTGTGATGCTGGCAGTGGGGGGACACAGGGGAGACCCAGCTTTGTTGCCACCAGACCTGCTGGGTTTCTAGGAGCTTGCAGTGATAGTTAAGCTTTTTACCAGAAGACTCCCCCCCTTTTTCTTCCGGGCTTTTCCAAATATTTTTAGACTGCCTCCAGGTCCCTCCTGGCCTCCCCAGTGCCTGCCTGGGGAGCTGAAGATAGGTCTCTGCAGTGGAGATGGTCCCCTAGAGGCCCCAGGGCAGGGTTTCTGCCAGGCGAGTTCAGGCGTGGGCGAGCTGGAAGGCGCTTGTTGGCCCCCGTTCCCTCTCATCCAAGCCCTTTTCTTTCTTCCCCTCTTCCTCTTGCCTACCACCTCCACTTGTTCCTACTTTTTCCTATATTCTGGGATTTCCCTCCCAGCCCTCATTTCTCACCTTCAGCCTCCTCTCCTGGCCCTAGGCCTGTGGAAGTCTCAAAATGCAAGGGACATCTAGTTTGGGAGGACAATCCTTGTCTTTCTCCCTGTGTCTGTCACATACAGGGGGAGTAGGAGTTGTCCCCACCCCAGTCCTGGGCAGGGTGGGTCTCTCTGCCCATTTGTATACCCCTGCCTTGCATTCTCAGCAGAGGATGGTCATGGAGACAGCTGCTGCTCAGGTTAGCATTTTAGGTGATTTTGTGGGTGCAGTGGTAATGAGGAGTGGTCATTTTGTGCCAGGGCTGTGTGTGACCAGTGACATCTGTCTTCTGCAGCAGCCAACATGGGAGACTGGGTAGGAACCGAGGGTGAGAAGCAGAAATACCCAGGAGCTCCAGCGACCAAGTGGGCCAGGGCTATCCAATCACATGCTGGCATCCAAGTGAGCTGGAGCTTAGTGCCTCAGGGAGTCTGGGTTGGGGCGAATATACTAGAAGGGAGGGTCTGGAAAGGACAGGACTGGTTCAATTCCTACAGCCCTACAGTGCAATACTGCACAGCTATAAATGCAATTATATCTCATTGTATACTAATAGTGTGTATGGTGTACTTCCCATTTGTGGTTTAGAAGGGAGGAAAATATAAATATAGATTTGCTTATAAATGCATATTCAGAAGAAATGGTTGCTTCTGGAACGGGAACTGGAGGCTGGGGACAGGGGAGGGAGGGGACTTAGCACTGTATACCCTTTTGTACATTTTGAATTTTGAACCATGTGACTATGTTACCCATTCAAATTAAATAATAAGTGGACCTAAACAGGATCTGACTTTTTTTTTTTTTAACTGATAAGTCTTTTAGGACAGGTCAGGGGTAGCGGAGGGTAAAGGGAGTTAAGGGATGGGCCTCCGGACTTAACTTTTTTAAGTTTTTGAGACCGAGAGAAATGGGCATGGCCTATGGTAACTCCTTTACCTCCTTTTGCTTGTCTATCTCCGAATAAAGTGTTAAACTTCAGTGAGTCTCTCTCTTTCTTTCTCCCACTTTTGCTCTCTGTCTCTCCTAGAAGAGGGCCATGAGAAGCAATGGGGAAGGGTGACTTCTGCCTGCTGGAAGCGCAGGCCAGGCCAGGAGGTCAAGGGCAAGAAAGGGATTTTGGATGCTGCTCAGCTTATGACCAGAGGGAGATCTATCCAGGGAGCTCAGACATCAGCTTCTGCTACCTTCTCTCCTGCCCAAGCCCAAGCCCAAGCCCAAGCCCAAGCCCAAGTTCACCTCAGAGTCAATGGAACAGTGGATGGGGAGGAGTCAGTAGAAACTAGGTTCCAAAGGACAGGGGGAAAGATTTCAGTAAGGAGCAGAGAGCCAGGGATGGCTGGATTAATTTACCGCGTGGCCTGGGGTGGAAGCAAGAGTGACAGAGGACAGAAAGACTGAGGACAAGGGAGGCTGAAGACGGAGATGGGAGAGAAAAAGAGATGTCCTGGGCAGATGAGGCTCTGATACTGATTTTATGCTTACTCTTCCTCTGACCTGAATAACTTAAGTTCTTTAAAATGCATATCCTTTTTCCCAGCTGGAGTGGCTCAGTTGGTTGAGCATCATCCTGTGTACGGAAAGGTTGCTGGTTCGATTCCCAGTCAGGGCACATGCCTGGGCTGATATTTCTCTCTCTCTCTCTTTCCCTTCCTCTCTAAGCATGTCCTCAGGTGAAGATTAAAAAAAATAATAATAATAACAAAATATATATCCTTTTGTTTCTACCTCCTAACTCTCCTTCTTATGGTCAGTTTCCCAATGGTCGGTGCTGGGGGAAGTGAATTATAGGAATGCTCCCTCACCCCGGATCTTACTAACTTCAAGCTCATTACCTTGAAACCCATCTCTAGACCAAAGAATGTGAGTGTTCGCCTGAGGTGAGAGTGTGTGTAAATAAGTGCTCACAAGCTTTTATCTGAAAATGTGACTGTAGTTGTGTCTCTCTACATCTCCACCACAAGGATGACACCACCTGTTCCAGGCCTCAATGGACATGTAGATTGCGAGAGTGTCAGCCCAGCTGGGGTCAGGAGGGCTACAGGATCAGCTCTCCCTCCTTCCCTTCCCTGCACACCACCTTCCACCCTGGCAGGACCAGAAAACTGGGTCTGGGCTGAGGACATGGCCTTTGTCCTCATGCATTACCCTGGAGCCCCAATCTAATCTCTTCCTCAGACCACTGAGGCCCACTAGAGTGTTGGCCTCAGACCTTTGGTCAAGTGAATAGTGACTGAGGGTGTCAGGCTCTGAAAGAATAGTGTCCCTAAGGCTGAGAACTTTAGCACTTGGGCCCTAAGAGGAGGTAGACAAGAGGACCCCGGGAGCTTAGATCGGAGGGCATAACTGGGACTTCCCCAGGAATGTAGACACCAGCACCCCCTGTGAGGAGCCTAAGATGTGCTCGCCTGCCTCACCTGAAGCCCCTGGGAAGGGCTCCAGCTCCCAGTGCAAGAGAAGGATTCCTCTGTGCACCCTGTAAAGATGCATAAAGTGCCCCCTAAGTGCCGGGCACCATGCGAGGCACTAGGATGTATTAGTGAATGAAAGATACAATTTCTGCCCGCAGGAGAAGAGAGGCAAGCCATGGGGCAATTACAGATGAGGACTGTTAGAGGGAAGGTGGGAGCGGGCCAGCGGCAGGCTTCCTGAGGGACCTGATGTCTCAGCTGATCTTGGCAGAGGAGTAGAAGTTGGCGGGGGAGAGGAGGAAGAGCACAAAGAACATCCCAGGCACAGGGAGGACCATGTCCTTGACCCTCCCCTCTTCTCTCTACGGAGGTCCTCCCTGGGCGACTTCAGCCTCCAATACTTTAAGTGCTAGTATTTTTTGTTTTACCCAAATCTATTTTTTCTAGCCTAGAATCTCTCTCCTGTACTCTAGATCCAGAGAGTAAACTTCCCTTTTTCTAGTCATCTATAGTGGGGCTTCCCATGAGCACCTCAAACTTAGTTTCCGCCTTGAACTTGCTGCTCTTTGTGTATGTCCTTCTGCTGAAAGGCCCCACCACTCAGCCAGTCACCCAACGGGAAACCTTTGTGTCATGTAAGATGCTGTGCTCTCTNGTCAGTTTCCCAATGGTCGGTGCTGGGGGAAGTGAATTATAGGAATGCTCCCTCACCCCGGATCTTACTAACTTCAAGCTCATTACCTTGAAACCCATCTCTAGACCAAAGAATGTGAGTGTTCGCCTGAGGTGAGAGTGTGTGTAAATAAGTGCTCACAAGCTTTTATCTGAAAATGTGACTGTAGTTGTGTCTCTCTACATCTCCACCACAAGGATGACACCACCTGTTCCAGGCCTCAATGGACATGTAGATTGCGAGAGTGTCAGCCCAGCTGGGGTCAGGAGGGCTACAGGATCAGCTCTCCCTCCTTCCCTTCCCTGCACACCACCTTCCACCCTGGCAGGACCAGAAAACTGGGTCTGGGCTGAGGACATGGCCTTTGTCCTCATGCATTACCCTGGAGCCCCAATCTAATCTCTTCCTCAGACCACTGAGGCCCACTAGAGTGTTGGCCTCAGACCTTTGGTCAAGTGAATAGTGACTGAGGGTGTCAGGCTCTGAAAGAATAGTGTCCCTAAGGCTGAGAACTTTAGCACTTGGGCCCTAAGAGGAGGTAGACAAGAGGACCCCGGGAGCTTAGATCGGAGGGCATAACTGGGACTTCCCCAGGAATGTAGACACCAGCACCCCCTGTGAGGAGCCTAAGATGTGCTCGCCTGCCTCACCTGAAGCCCCTGGGAAGGGCTCCAGCTCCCAGTGCAAGAGAAGGATTCCTCTGTGCACCCTGTAAAGATGCATAAAGTGCCCCCTAAGTGCCGGGCACCATGCGAGGCACTAGGATGTATTAGTGAATGAAAGATACAATTTCTGCCCGCAGGAGAAGAGAGGCAAGCCATGGGGCAATTACAGATGAGGACTGTTAGAGGGAAGGTGGGAGCGGGCCAGCGGCAGGCTTCCTGAGGGACCTGATGTCTCAGCTGATCTTGGCAGAGGAGTAGAAGTTGGCGGGGGAGAGGAGGAAGAGCACAAAGAACATCCCAGGCACAGGGAGGACCATGTCCTTGACCCTCCCCTCTTCTCTCTACGGAGGTCCTCCCTGGGCGACTTCAGCCTCCAATACTTTAAGTGCTAGTATTTTTTGTTTTACCCAAATCTATTTTTTCTAGCCTAGAATCTCTCTCCTGTACTCTAGATCCAGAGAGTAAACTTCCCTTTTTCTAGTCATCTATAGTGGGGCTTCCCATGAGCACCTCAAACTTAGTTTCCGCCTTGAACTTGCTGCTCTTTGTGTATGTCCTTCTGCTGAAAGGCCCCACCACTCAGCCAGTCACCCAACGGGAAACCTTTGTGTCATGTAAGATGCTGTGCTCTCTCTGCCCACCCGCACCCAATCAGGCACCGAGTCCTGTAAACTCTACCCTTAAACACCTCTCTGTCCTCCATACCACCGGCCTTATCCTGGCCCTTTGCCTCCTGCCTGGTCTCCTCACCTCTGGTTTATTCCACACCCAAGCCAGAGCCATCTCCCTAGAAGGCAGATTGGTACAGAGTGTAACCTGGGTGTACAAGGCGGCCGAGTTGACCACACAGGGCCTTTGAGGCAGCAGTTCCTCTCAGGCACAGTGTTCCGGGCCCAGTCCTCAGCCTGGGGGCTAGAGGTGGGTTCCAGCTCCCAGGGATAAACTCATCTTCATTATATTCCCAGAGGCCGGGGCCAAGTTTATTCAAAGAGAAGATGTAGTGGAGGGAGCAGGATGTATAGTCCTGTCTCCTGAATAATTCTGTAAGAGGGACACCTTTCCAACAAGTGTTTAGGGTATTTAACGTGATTCCTGTGAAGACTAGGATGAAACAATATCTCAGAGGAAGCAACTCGACAACTAGACACTTAGGGAAGGCGGTCAGGGTGATGCTTTTTTATACACCAGTTCCCCCACCAGCCAAGGCAAAGGGCTCCCCCCCATCACCCACCTCCCCACATGAGAGCTTGGTGATACCCCACCAGAGTGAATATTTTGACCTCTACTTGGTAACACCGTTCAGGACAATAACATTAGTGATCTTAACAGTGACTTTCATGACTTATGAAAGACCCAGACTCACAGTTGCCTTGTGGCCAGGGATAGGTAAGCCTTGACATTGGATTCTGCTCTCCCTTATTCTCAAGGTCACGAGTCCCATTGCCAATGGCCTCTCCTTGCCTTAGTTACAGCAGTTCTATTGTTTGTCTTGACTGCAAGAAGCTCTCCAGTTCCTCATTTCCAAACTGCTGCTCAGTCAATGGGAATATTGGGTGTGAATTTCTCCCCCTAACAGTCAGGGGTAGGTATGAAATGTAACGTTTCTCTATTTTTCTATAACAGATAACCAGCTCTGTGCCCTCACTCATCTGGTTGGCAGGAAATTCAATTACAGACATGTTTTGTGGGGGTGTGGGGGTGCTCATTTTTAGGAATAGGGAAGACTGTCATCTGGGACTTTGGGGAATGGTTGGATTAGTCTTCTGCTGACCGCAGCCAGTACTACTATGCTCACTTTCCACTGCCCTGAGGCCAGACTTGCCAAGGCAAAGAGGGGAGGAGAGGCTGAACCACACCTACTTTCTCTTAGAGCAAAAAGCCTCATTTTCTCCTGTATGTTCACCAAAATTTTTTTAAAACATTTTTTAAATTAAAACTATTTAAAATACTGTTTTCGATGAATAGCTTCTGCAGAGTACACAAACCAGATCAGCAAAAGCAAAACCGGTTCCCATTTTCTTTTTTTTCTTTTTTAAATATATCTTTATTGATTTCAGAGAGAGGAAAGGAGAGGGAGACAGACAGAAATGTCAATGATGAGAGTCATTGATCGGCTGCAGCCCGCAACCCGGGCATGTGCCCTGACTGGGAATCGAACCCTGATCGCCTGGATCCTAGATCGACGCTCAGCTGCTGAGCCACGCCCGGCCGGGCCCAGTTCCCATTTTCATT